CTATCTATCTATCTATCTATCTATCTATCTATCTATCTATCTCTATCATCTATCTATCTATCATTTATTTATTCATCTATAAATCATTTGTTTATTTATTCTTCATTTATTTATTTATTCTTCATTTATTTATTTATTTATTTATTTATTTGTTCTTCATTTATTTAGTCTTCATTTATTTATTTATTCTTCATTTATTTATTTTTTATTCTTCATTTATTTATTTATTCTTCATTTATTTATTTTTTATTCTTCATTAATTTATTTATTCTTCATTTATTTATTTATTTGTTCTTCATTTATTTATTCTTCATTCAGTTATTTATTTATTCTTCATTTATTTACTAGTTTCAAATAGGAACATTTTAATTGTCAATACATTTTTGTTGTGTTAAACTTCATATGTACATAAATACATCTGAGATAAATTGGAAAATATTCTACTTTAGGAATAAAGAAATGTTTAATGTTTAGTTTTGGTAGTTGGATTCTGTGGAAAACATTCAATTCATTTTATTTATATAGCACCAAGTCACAAGAGGAGTCATCTCAGAGCACTGAACAGAAACATTCATATTTAAAATGTAAGTTAATAACATTGTGGATAGTGAATATCTTACTTGTTGTAGATAACGCTAAGATCAGCCTCAGTTTGGAGAAAATCATGAAAATAGATTTGAGTTTAATTTCTGATCAGATAATTTTCATATAAACCCAAACAATCTGAGCTATCCCTGTAATGCAGGTTTGTCAAACCCACTTACAAAAGGGGGGCAAAATTAAAACCTTTTTCAAACTAAGTGCCGGTTTCACAATCTACATTAACTCAAGTTAGATACTCCATCTTTTCTTGGTTGCAGGTTCCCCAACAAGAGTTTGATTGGTCTCATTTGACGTTCTCTGTTGCAGTTTTCACATCTTAATCAAAGATTACTGAAAAAAATTAAAGTGATGAAAGTACTTTACATTTAAAACAACATCTTGGGGTCCAGATAAGCTGTCAACGAGGGCCACATTTGGCCCCCGGGCCTTGAGTTGGACACATATGCTGTAATGCAGGCGGTTCTAACCTCGATATACTTTCAATTCTACAAAACACGACAATCACCAATGAATTAGTTGTTAATTTGATCCTAACTTCATGTGAATACCAACCAAAGCTTTGTCCAAGCGCAGTGGGACAGGCAAGTTTGAATTTGTTTTTACAGGCAACCACAATCAAGCTGTATGTGTGTGTATGTGTGTGTGTGTGTGTGTGTGTGTGTTGGGGTGTTATGTTACAGGAGCGAGGATGTAGATAAGTTGTCAGACCCTGCAAAGCGACAACCTCAGCCGAGGAGCATATTCGACTTCGAGCCCATTAGAAGCTCCACCTCAGAGAGCCACAGTCAGGTACGCCCTCACATGCAGCCAGACGTTTAAAAATAACTCTAATTCCTGCAGAAAGTTTCAGTGTAAGTCTTTGAGCTTTAAATTCACTCGGTGTTGTTGCAGCTGTAAGTCTGTATAAAGCCTGTTTTCCCTGTGAGGATCTCAGGAAGCACTTTGTTCACCTTTTTTAAGGATTACAGTCTGAGTCGTTGCGTTTCGTCTTCTCACGCAAAACATCCAACATGTGGAAGCCACACAGTGTTTAGGCGAGGTGAGCTCACTTCTGTTAGCCAAAGGATTCTGTAGATTTTCATCTCTATTTAGATTTTCAGACAAGGAAGGGCGTCATTTGTTCATTACACACTAGTTGTAAAACATTTTCTGCAAACATTCATTATTCATGTACTTTAGGCATGACCGCGACTCATGCTGGGATTATTATGTCTCTTCTTGTCTGAAAGAAATCTCAAAACAGTTGTTTTTTTCAGAGGTTTCTGAACTCGGTTCAAGTTGTACTATTGTGTCTACACTTTTGGAGAAAAGAAATCTTTGTTTCCACCCCCTAATGGGAGCTGATGTGTCTTGTGATTTGTATTATGGTGTTAACCTGTTGGGGTGTAAAATGGCTCACAGCATGGGGACTTGTTTCATTTGCTCTTTACGACAGTGGCCAGCATTTAGAAAAGCAACCCGCAGACCATATCAGGTGTTGTGCTGCCTCACGGTGACATTGTAGCCTGTTTGTAGACAGGACGACTCCTGGCTGTGGGAGGCTTTGGCGTTCAGAGAGAAGCATTCAGCCAAGATCCTGCAAAAAAAAAAAAAAAGGAGAAGCAGACGTCTGTGGTTCTCATCGACAGGGCCTTTTAAAGTAATGTTTGATAGAATCGTCTGCTAAGAGTCATTTTTCTGTAGAGTGAAAGAATTATTGCAGAGCTTATTAGAGAAAAATATGCCGGTTTATACCTCATCAGTAAGTTCTGGCAAGCTTGGGCACTTTTCAGTACTTTGAGCTCTGCTTGTTAAATGCAACAAAATGATAGTTTGAAATGTTTGTTTTCTGTCGTAGCCTGACAGCGATCAGCTGCTCTGAGACTGATCCAAACCATACTTCCTGCTTGGGAATCGATCAGCTCTGATTTAGTTTTTAAATCGGTTAGAGCTTGCAGTACTATGGATTAGTGGTTAGCGCAGTTGCCTCACGTTTGTGGACTTTGCATGCTCTCCTCGTTTTTGTGTGGGTTTGCTCCGGGTAATCCAGTTTCCTCGCACAGTCCAAAACCTGCATGCTGGGCTGCCTTCAGGCCCAGGCCTCCCTGGCAAAGATGTCCGGGATCTCAATGGGATTTTCCTGGTTATATAAAGGTTAATTAATATAACGAAAGAAATAGCTGTTTGGTGGATGTAACCAACTTTATAAAGGTTTTCTTTGACTTGTTCAAAGTTGACTTGTTCCCACATTGAAAGGGAGAAAAAACAAGTTTCAGAAACCAGTTTTTAAAGGTATTTAAAAACCACTGTGACTTTTTACTACCTATTCATGTCTCGTGATGAAATGAGAAACATTTGCCCCTAAACAGCCACACAACACCTGCACTGTTTTTAAAGCATTGAGGTGTCTGTACCTCTATCATTTTTTACCTAGTTATTGTTTATGAGCTGCTTCAGCTTCAGTTTCAAGCCTAAATTAATGCCTGCTACGCCCCCCCCCCCCCTTTTTTTTCTATAGGGTCCTTCATCTCCAAAAACCAATTATGAGAAACCAAAGTCCCTTTCCATTGAGGTGAGCATCTACAACAAACGACAAATTAAAACATTTCTTAATCCCCTTAAAAATAGGTAATCTTGTAAGTTTAAAAGGGCCAGTAGAGGCCCAGATCTCCAGACTCTGGTGTTTTATTCTTGTATTCCACCTTTGCTGGGGCTCAGGCCAGCCTGGCGTCTGAGCTGAGCCGCTTCGAGGCTGAGCTGGACTCGGAGATTCAGGGCCTGGAGAGGACGCTTTCCCAGAAGAAGCAGCGTCGAGGCCGGGGTGAGGTACTGAGCCCCCCTACCGACTCTCTCTCTCGCTCTCTCTCTCTGCTGAAGCACCACCCCCCTCCAAACCTCCTCTCTCTTTCCAGTTCCAACCATGATACCCCCCGCATGGCCAGTGAAAGCTGTCACTGCCTGCTGTCTGACCTGGTTGACCTGTTCACTCTGATTCATCTGATTTCCTCATGACTTGCTGCCAGCACCAAACACAGACCTGATTGCCAAAAACCACAAAGACCTGTTTTCCTTAGATCACCTTCTGATAACACTGTTTGCCACTTCTCCTTTGAGTTCTGCAGAAACTTGCCAAAAACTCTCCTACATGTTTGTTTTATGGGACTGAGTCAGCCCTGTGGACGGTTCTTAAGAAATGAGCCACAGCTCTGACAAACCAAGAGTGGTGCTGATCCAAGCTGAGGAGGATAGGACCCAGGGGATTTCTCAGCTGGGTTGGGAGTGGTCAGCACCTCTACTTTGTCTGAGTTGTTGTGAGATTTCCTCTAAACTATGAGGCAGAAGGCTGAGTGGAGCTGCAGGAAACAAACTGTGGTTTAAAGTTCTCTCTGCTTGCAGGAGGCCAGAAGCAGAAGTCCAGGTCCTGCTCCAAAGACCGGCTCTACCAACCACAGGTTAGTGACAAACACCACATGATCACAACAGACAGCTCCATTAGCCTGATTATAACTCATCTATTTATGTTTTGAACAGCGTTTTTTTTATTTCAACAACATTCATCATTTTAATAACTATGAGAGTCAACTCTTTCTCTTTGTAAAACATCGCATGAACTTCTGAGCAGATTTGAATGAAACTCCCAGAAATTAATCATTGGATTTATTAATTTTTGGAGTCAAGCTGGTTCAAGATGGCCGCCACAGCCAACTCCCCTCAAAAGACACAAACATGGCTTCACGCTGTCAATTTTACCGATATTGAGCTAAAATTTGGTGTGGTAGATGAGCGGGTAACAGTTTACAATAAGGTACACAAAATTTGATTTACTACTATAGAGAACGCTTCAGGAGCTAATGGGTAGTTAACCAGTGCTTAATGGGAACATACAGCCAAGCCTTATTAGGGAATTACTGGTTAGTTACCTGGAAAACAAAGAGGAACTAATCAGGAACTAATGGGTAGTTAACCAGTCTGAGTCGTCGTGTTTCGTCTTCTCATGCAACACTTCCAACATGTGGATGTGGAAGAAGAACTAATCAGGAACTAATGGATAGTTACCATGGAAACCAGAGAGAAACAAATCAGGAGCTAATGGGTAGTTACCATGGAAACCAAAGTGAAATGACTCAGGAACTAATGGGTAGTTAACCAGTACTTACTGGGGAACATACAACCAAGCCTTATTGAGGGACTACTGGTTAATTACCTGGGAAACGAAGAAGAACTAATCAGGAACTAATGGATAGTTACCATGGAAACCAAAGAGAAACAAATCAGGAACTAATGGGTAGTTAACCAGTACTTACTGGGGAACACATAGCCAAGCCTTACTGGGGGACTACTGTATAGTTACCTTGTAAATGAAGAGGAACTAATCAGGGACTAATGGGTAGTTACCATGGAAACCAAAGAGAAACGAATCATGAGTTGGAGTTTGGTCATTTCAAAAAATGATTAACGTTTGGAGACAATCCAGTTAAAAACGACCACCACAGCTAATCCACAGTAGCTAACACAAAAATGGCTATAGCTCAATCAGTTTGATAGATTTTTAGTTTGGATTAGACGTGGTGGTAGCTGAGAGTCATTCCCAACACATACCCTCTCATGATTCTCCTACAATAATATGTTCAAGGTTTGGCCAAACTGGGCAGCAGACAATAATATGCCTTCCTTCAAGAACCTTTGATTTAATAACATTTTCTTCTCAGCTGCAGCACTGAGACGGTTAAAAACACGCTGGGGATTACAAAACTGTGACATCATGCTCCTGTTTCCGTTAAAATGAGGAGTTTTCTGCAGGAGGTGGACGAGTACAGACAAATGTAGATGATGTAAGCCTGCTGGCTACTTATATGGTCATTTTCACATCATTTTTAACAAGAAATCCAGGGTTGATCACCTCCTCTGAACGCAGCTGCCCCCTCCTCCTAATCTGTTGCGTCATTGCGTTGCAGAAATGACTGAAGTCCTCCTGCTGCTTTAGGAATCCAAGGATTACAACTCAACACTCACTTTATTAGCTGGCAAAGTTAGACGGTTACGTGGTTTTTGTGAGCTAAGTTTTGTGTTAGTTGCTTCAAACTTCAGACGGGAGGGCACATTTCTCACCTTGAGCGTAACACATTCTTGGAGGATTCATCATGCTGTTTGCTAAACTGAGCTCGGTGGATTGTGATCTTTTCCAAATCCTGAGGGGATTTCACTGAAGATGTGTGCATTTCAAACATACAGCAACAATGCTGTCTGGATATATGTAAAACAAACATGGAAACAAACCAGCGAGGCCTGGTTCATTCTTTCCTCTTTCTCCTCAGACTCTTTATCCTGATCATGAATGGACAGACATGATTAAAGCTCATTGAATCCAGATTTTCAGTGCGAGGACTCCAGCTCTCCTCTTTAACTGATGATCTGTTTCTTCCTCTTCCATTGTGTTAAAAAAAAACAGCTGCAGACAGATGAGCTGCACAGAAAACCTGCTGCTGTTTCCAGCTGTGCTGTCTGTTGTCATCCTCTGACTGGGAAACAGATAAAGAAATAAAAACTTTCATGCCTTCCTCTCTTTTTTCCTCTCTCTTTTCAGCAGTTTATCAGCGTCAAAGCAGCCTGTTCAGCATTCTGGTGGCTCATCATTGACATCTGCTCCTGCACATGGTAGAAAACAAGTTTTAATTCCCATCTGGACAATAAAAACACATATTAATGTTGCTTTCACTGCCAGAACTGTTCATGAGCTGTTCTCTCTTGAACAGACTGTCCCTCTGTCCACTGATTTAATAGATTTGATAAAAGCTCAAAGTAATGCAACACCTGATGGTCTCATGGTTCTACTTTATTGCTCCTGTTGTCTCCTCCCTCGTTAGAGGAGGCCCGCGAGGCCGTGGAAAGTCTCTTCCTATAGACACAGCTGTGGATGGGTGGGGAGGAAGCCCACAAACATAGGAAGTGAAACTTGGAAGACCTGATTAAAGATTAGCAAACCAGTTGTTTTTCCTGGTAATTTAAGGTCCCTTTTGAAGCTGTTAAAAGTCTGTAATGGCTTCTGCGTGGCAACGCACTTAAAAACAAGTTAGCAGAACAAAAGAGGGCATTTCTCATACCTTTGTGTTGCTGTTGTGTTGAACAGTAGAGCGTCTTTCGCCTGCAAATGACATCATGGAGCTGCCTTCCAAAAAAGAAGAGAAAAAGGCAAGTTTGAGCAACTTTGTTGCAACTTAAAAGAGTTAGGAACATGCTTTAAGGAGCACCTTTCCACGAGGCGAACATGAATTTACCAAAATGATCAAACTATTTGCTCTTTGTTTCTAGATGAAAGCTGCAAGAGCCAAGTTTAACTTCAAGGCGCAGTCGCCCAAGTGAGTTCAAGACGATGTGACGACTTGTTTTCTGTCCAACACTTCCGGTTGTAAACAAATCTTAGATACAAGCTTCCTCCTCCGTTCAGAGAGCTGCCGCTGCAGAAAGGCGACATCATTTACATCCACAGGCAGGTCGATGCCAACTGGTTTGAAGGAGAGCATCATGGACGAGCTGGTATTTTCCCCACTTCTTACGTGGAGGTGAATTAGTTGATCCGTCTCGTGTGAAGCTGCTAACAGATTATTAATGTTGTGCTGCTTGAGTAACAACTCGTGCCTTTCTTAGATTCTGCTTCCTACAGAGAAGCCGACTCCTCTCAGGTCTCCTACCCTGCAGGTGTTGGAGTACGGGGAAGCTGTGGCTCTGTATAACTTCAACGCCGACCTCCCGGTTGAACTTTCGTTTCGTAAAGTGAGTGATTTCTACTCTTTGCTGGTTATTTTATGTCGCTGCAGAAGAAGTTATTCAGATGGATTGTTCTTTTTAATTAATCTTGTAGGCATGCAATTAGTTATAAATAAGATTGTATATAAGGTTTCTGTGTATTTACTTGAGTATTTTCTCGCAATTTCAAATAGTTTTGACATTTCATAAATACTCTAAACAGCTCTGTTTCCAACATGTATATGAAAGGTTGACACACTGTGTCAACCCCCCACCCTCCACCCCCACCAGTGTTGCTGAAAGTTATTAAAAAGTCACGGGCTGTTTGTTTAATCTGCACGGGATCAAAACTATATGTTGCTGTGTGAAGCCAGTCTTTGTCTCGGCAGGGATGCACAATTATTTAGAGTAGCACTAACAGGAGACTCTGATGAGATGTGAATATATTCTTGTAAAATATTCCCATTAAAATTAACCAACGGTTAAAGAACCAAACATAATTTTCCACAGTTTACTTACAGGAACTCATATCTGAGGAACACTGATAATAAATCTCAGTATGATTTTTTTTTTTTCTGTTAAACATTAAATCTAAAATATATCCTCACAAAGCAAGAGTTAAAAAAAAGAAAAACCTCTCAGGTTCACAAGGATCTGAGGATCTTTGCATAAGATATTATAGTTGTGTTTCATGCACATAATATTAGTCAGTAAAAACAGTCAAGTTTTATATTTGCTGCAATAAAACTCTTGGGCTCAGAGTCCCTAAATAATACATAAAAAAGACAACAAAATATGTAAAAGTAAAAAAATTAAATATTTGGCTCACTCCCACTCTATGAAATAAAATGAAATAGCTTAAAGTCTGAGAACAGCGGCACACTCTGAGTATTTAGTGATGCACATGTGCAAATATAGAAGATTTAGTCAAAGGAAGAGTGCGTTTTCAGCAAACAGATGAGGTCAGATTGATCGTGCAATATTTAGTTGCTTTAAAACATCGTATTATTTGTATGATGCAACAACATCTGCTTCCTTTGGCTGTTGAAGATGAACTAAAACATTCAATTTAGCATTAAACTTTTCACAGTGCTTACATTTATATATTTATTTGGGTGTGCATAGGCATATTGCTTAAATTATAAATATATCTGTACATTAGTGTGTAGATTGTACAGTATGTGCACGAACCACAAACAATATTTAGGAAAACATAAGCAACAGAATGGAGCACAAAGCATAAAATATGCAGAAAAAAAGTTAAAATAAGAGCAAGAAAAATAATATAAAAAAACATATTTCAGAACACAATCACATTTGAAGCTCTATGGTTTAACAACAAAACATATGTCATTGTGTATAAAAGTGTTATAATTTTCCTGCTCTCATGGAAGAATAGTTGTATGTCGGGTTTTGTTGGGAGGTTTCTCCTTGCTGTTTTCTCTGACGTGTCCTTTAGTTTTGTTGTTTCTTTTCTAACATTTTAAAAATGTTTTGCTTTTAAAATGTTGCGACATGACATTTCAAAGTTCTGTTCTCCTCCAGGGCGAGGTGATCAGTATAACCAGACAAGTGGACGATAAGTGGCTGGAGGGCAGGATCTCTGGGACAAGCCGGAGCGGCATCTTCCCCGCCAGTTACGTGCAGGTCAACAAGATGCCCCGCACCAAATACTCCACGGACGACCTCCCATCGAGCCCCTTGTCTCCCATCTCTCCTGGACTGCAGAGTCCAGGACTCGCGCTGCACACCCCGTTCTCTCCCGCTTCACTGAGCCCCCGACCCGAGCACTCCCCAGTTAAACTGTCCTCACCTGTTCTATACGGCAGCCCTGCCTCACAGTCACGCTCCCCCATCCAGACACGCAATCGTTCTCCTGACAGCACCTTCAGAATGGCTTCACCCACCAACCAGAACAGCCACCTGGCTGCACCACCCTCTGCTGGCCTGAGCTCCACAGTTAGAGCAGGTTCCTATCAGCCGTCTTCCTCTGTGCACAGAGCAGGAGCCCCCACTGATCCCTCACAGGTCTGACAGAGTCACGGCATGTCCACACCTGCCTTCTGCCTGTTCGTGCTCACGGAACACGGCTCATTATTAATTACGATGTAATGCGTGACATAAAGTTGTTCTTTTTCCCAGGGTGCACCTCAGATCGTCCCCTCTAATCCGCGCATCAACTCTCAGCCACAGAGCAGCCCTGGTTCAACGATGCTGCAACGCCAACCGTGCGTCGGCCTTTCTCACACTGAAAACAAAACGACTGCTGCAACTTCGGTACAACTCCCGCTTTGACTCGTTTGTCGTCTGTTTTAGGTACAAGGCGATTTACAACTACAACCCTCAGAATTTAGACGAGCTGGAGCTTAGGGAAGGAGACATTGTGCAAGTGATGGAGAAATGTGATGACGGCTGGTTTGTAGGTAAAGGGTTTTGGATTTTAAATCACTTGAAAGAAAGCTAATATCGTTCTGTGGATTTTTTTCTTGATTCGAAAAAAAATGACAAGATAAAAACATTCAAGTTTTAGTTTTAGGTATCAACACAGATGATGAAACACAAAAAGTAGTAAAAGTGTCACTGCAACCTCTCAGAGGACTGTGCTCAATCATTTGTATGTTAGGTTTAATAACACATTGTAGATCTCCCTCTGGTGGACACTATGTAACATTGCAGTTATTTTTTTACACAAACATCCATACCATACCACTTTATTTATAGAGCACTTAAAACAGCTACAAGACCAACCAAAGTGCTGTACAGACAAAACAACAGGTAACACACAAAGCAATATACAAAATGAAGTAAATCAGAATATAGACATAAAAACGATGCAGGTAATGACGACAAACCAGTGAGGAGCGTACAGGATAAAAACACAGATCCTCTGGTGTTGAAAGCTACCAAATAGTAGTGGGTTTTTAAACAGGACTTGAAAACCGAGAGGGAGGGGGCCTGTCTGACAAGCAGAGGTAACTCGTTCCAAAGTCTTGGTCCTGCTACAGAGAAGGCCCTGTCACCTCTGCACTTAAGACGAGATCCTGGAACTGTGAGGAGCAACTGGTCCACTGACCTCAGGGAACATGGTGGGACATACGGTTGTAGCAGATTGGGGGGGGGGGACTGGTCAGATGTTTTTGTCCATCTGTCACCAAAATGAAGCTCTGGATAGGTTTTATTGAAACTTTCAGAAAGTAACAACTGGTATAATGTGGGTGATACCATTCCTTCAAGAAATGCTCGTTTATTTAACTGGTTTCTGTTGATGTGACACATTTTCTGCTCTATGCAGGTACGTCAGATCGGACCCGTGCTTTTGGGACTTTTCCTGGGAATTACGTAGCACCGGTTTGACTTCCTCACTTCACTGCCTGCAGCCGTCCATCGGGACTGACACGAGCCTATCAGATGAAAATGTCCTGCGTTAACTCAGCAGGGCCTGCATGTTCACACTGTTCCTGAAAGAGAAGGGCGGAACAAAATGTGGTTTCACTCCTCACCTCCCTGCATGTATGCACACCTACGGAACGTGCGTGTTTGAGTGTGTGCGTGTTTACACAGAGACATGCGAAGTGAGTTTTCAAACACATCACGTGAGAGGAACAGATGAATGCTGACGGGCCTGTTCAGATGCCCATACTGGATCTTTTATTTTGTACCACAACTATTTGCAGCTGCAGGAAGTTTGCATTCCTTCCCACAGAACATCACGGTTCCCTCAGAGGTTCTGATACGACCCACTGCTGCACTCAGCTTTAAGTTGTCACCGTGCCATCACATACCACTGCTGGGAGAACAGAATGAGGAATATTGTGTGAATGCTGAGTGAGCTCGGCTACAGTTAGCTTTCAGCTGGTGTTTTTGTGTGTTTTAGCTTTGACAACTCAGTTTTATCTTCTGCAAATTTTGGAGAAGTCATTCAGCACTCAGCGTTCACACTGCGTTTCCACACCCAGAAAAATGAATATTTTCTCGTTTTGTTTAACATTTTGTTGGAATATTAATCTTTTGAACTATTTCCCCCCAGACTTTCTTTCAGATCTTTGAAAACACCTGCAGCAGTTTTTTGAAGAAACCACAGAAAGATCATCTGAAAATACATGTTCTGGTTTATGGATGTTTGCAGTGTAATATTAGAAAAGAAAAAAAAAACCTAATGGAGAGGGCAGAAAAAAATACGTAAAGCCAACATGTTTTGTTCTGTAAAAGAATGCCTTTGTATAAAATGTCAGGCCTCTGTGAATCTTACAGCTGTTGTGTTGAACAGATAAAATCAACTCAGCAGATGATGAAAAGATCCAATGAAGTGACTGATTCATGCTGTTTGTGCAGAAATGAACCTTTAACCACATGCTTCTGTTCAGCTGTCCACAGCTCACTTCATGTTTGCTGCTTTTACAACATTTTCTCTCTGGATTAACACTTTGAAAACAGTTTTACAAAATAAATCCTCTATGTGCCAGAATATTTTTGACAAGTTGTCACTAACTAGAACACCTCGTTCATATCTTATTTTAATGTGACAGTTTCACTGTAAAAACAATCTAATTTAGTAGACGATTGTACAGATTGTAACAGTTTATAAAACTGAAAGGATAATATATATATTTGTTAAATAAATCCATTGTATTGCATATACATGGTACGCAATTTATAAAAGATTTTATTAAATATTACAGAGTGAGACTGCAAGCATTGTGTTGCTGTGTTTATTGTGTTGCATGATAATAAAACCAGCTTAAGGTGTAATAGATTACACGCCCGGTTAAATGTGGCACAAAATATAAACGGTATAACATTTTACTGATGCTTGGAATTGACTATAAAACTCAAATTTGTTTTTTGCATAACAGACACATCCAAAAAACGACCAAGCAGGATCATATGTGCTGCGTTTTAAAATGTATTCTGCAGCAAAAAACATGAATGCATTTTCTTTATGGAGAATTCTCATATACAATGTTTTTGTTTTTTTACTTCAACCTCCACAAACATGCTCAGTATGGAAAAAACAGCTTATTTAAAATTAAGATAGGCATATATTTAAAATGAATGAGTTAGAATTTTAATTACACAATATGCTTTTTGCTAGCTTTTTGGAGCCTAATTCTTTTGTTTTACTGGACAAAGAAGATTTGACAGGCAGTTACATTTTATTGTATTACTGACTTGTTTTAATAAACTCATCGGTTTAGCTGTCAGTCATTAAAATGAGAGTAGCGAGTGTTACTTGTTGAAAGTTTCTGTGGAAAATGTATGGACAATTATTATCTGTTGTAGACTGTACTTTGAATGACCTCAGCTTGAAAAAATAGACAATTGTAACTGAATTAAAAAGCTTACAGCCAAGTGGGATGAAGACAGAAGAGGACTGCTGCTGCATTGAAACAACTACAAAACATTAAGTTGACCTGCTTCACGCAGATATTTTGCCTTTAATGTGTAAGGACAGCGCAGGTGTAATGATGATGGCTGCATTCCATTTAGAAGAAGCTCTGCTTGTAAACACAGACCAAGCAGCATGCACAGCTGCAGAAGTGGAATGCAGCCCTCATTATTTCTGTGTTTTCTCTGCTTTTTTTCAAGTCAAAACGTTGGCTGAATTTTCAGAAATACCTTCAGCAGCATGAGAAGTGTCACAGCTAGCTGCTACTGCAGCAGCTATTTGTGTTTGCAAGCAGTGGTGCCTCCAGGAATGTTTTAGTGGGGTGACCATGTGGGGGCCACTGAAAATGGAGTGGAATGGCTAATCGAGAGGACCGGGACATTTCCTGATGGGCCGGTCTGATTCATGGGCTGCAGGGCAGGACTCAGTTTTTTTTTTTTTAAACTTTTTATTAATAACAGAAAAACACAACACTGCTACCGCTGCACCAGGACCGCCCCGCCTCAACTGGCAGCTCTCGTTTTTTATTTTTATTTGCACAAGTCCGACCCTCTCTAGGCCACGTGTCAGTCAATCCAGTAGGTGTGTCAGCAACTGCCCAATTGGCGACCTCCATTTGTCCCAAAGGTAAACGCCCCTTACCTGCAGATATGCAGCCCATGGTCAGAGGGATTTCATGAAGAATCATCAGAAAAATATGGTTAAACATTGTCAATGGGAAAAATGTAATACAGGCACGTGTTACACTGAGCCTTTAGAGCAGGGGTGTCAAACCCACTTACAAAAGGGGGCCAAAATTAAAACTTTTTTCAAACTAAGGGCCAGTTTCAGAATCTACATTAACTCAAGTTAGATACACAACATCTTTTCTTGGTTGCAGGTTCCTCAACAAGAGTTTGATTGGTCTCATTTGACGTTCTCTGTTGCACTTTACATCATAATCAATGTTGAAAAAAACTAAAGTGATAAAAGTATTTTACATTTAAAACAACATCTTGGGGGGCCAGATAAGATGTCAACGAGGGCCACATTTGGCCCCCAGGCCTTGAGTTTGACACATATGCTTTAGAGGGTGGAATACAGTTTATTCCATTTCAAAAACTAAACAGAGTTTGGAAAAATGTAAAAAGCTGGCGGCCGACCCCATGAGCAGCGGATTTCAAGAAGTTGTAGCTACCACATGTTCATCTGTACGAAGGTAACTGCAGGTAAATATTCCAGTTTCTGTCATAATTAGATTGTATGGTTAATGGTTAAATTAAAGGCTAATGCTTAAAGCTAACTGTGCTTTGTTTTGTGTGTTTTATATGGAGATATATGCTGTAACTTCTGGTTGCATAAGTTTAGTCTTTGTTAAAACTAAACTGATTTTGTACAACATGTTTAATAGGTTGTGTAATGTAAAGTTTACTCTCTTACATACTGAATTTCACTGTAAGTTCTTGCCCTGTGTCGCTCTGCGGCATGCAAATGTAACTCAGGTCAATAGTAGCTTAGACTGAAGAAGTCTTTTGGATGAAAGACAAAAATTTCCACAGTTTTTTGTTTTTATGAATCCGTTCAGAGGACCAGACTTAACTTTTTGAGATTAGTAGCTTAGATTTTTTTTTTCCTGTCCTTATTGCCTTAATGTTGGCTAATAAGGCAGAAATGCCTCACTAAACACTGTGAGCTTCACTACCTCCACATTACAGCTATCTTTGTTTGTTTGTTTGTCCAAAGTTAGCTCACCATGGGGTACATTTCCTCGTGAGCGAAGCAATCTTACAGTTCACGGAAAATATTTGATAACGTTCTTATAGAAACAATAGAGGGAGTGGTGTAGCAGAGGTTAGAGAAGGTGGACCTGTGATTGGAAGATCGTCGGTTCAACTCCCGGTACCAACAGCATCAAAATGAAGGTGGGATATGTAAAACACCCACACCTGCCTCCACCCTCCTTTGCCCCACTCTGGGCCCTTGAGCAAGGCCCTTAACCCCATCATCTGCTCCCCCAGGCGCCCTAGATAGCAGCTCTCTGCACCACACAGAGGGCTGTGGTAACTTGGTGGTCTGTGATTGCGTCAGGAAGGGCATCCTGTGTAAAAATAATTGCCAAGTCTTCGTGAGACTTAGTTCGCTGTGGCAACCCCTGAAGAAGGGAGCAGCTGAAAGGAAAAAAAAAAAGTTCTTATAGAAACAATTTGTGGATGTTGTTCATATTGTGTTAATGTTACATGTTTGTCTCTTGACCGTACAATTGGGTAATGTTAAAGTAGACCTAGCCCACTACTGGAGTTGTGATTAGGTACTTAATAAACACGATGGATGATCATATTGCTTTATGCTAGGCCATTAGTAGGGAGGAGTGATTATTATTATTATTATTATATTATTGTTTCATATTGGCTAGTGATTTCCCCCCTAAAAGTTAACATAGGCTACACTGTGTTTCTTAGACTGTGACTGAAGTGAGAATAGTGGAGTGTGCTCTGTTCACACAAGGAGAGCTGTTGGTCAGGCTACTTCTTGTTGTGCCATTAACTATTAATTAGTTCTGAGATTTTGCTTTTGGAAACTTTAATTCCTCTTTTGCTGGATGTAAATCACATTCTTTGGATTATTGTTTCCTCTGGTATCGGATGTTGTGCAGCTTGAAGGATTTGTACTGAAACTTTTTTAGTTTTGGACTTTTGTTATGATGCATAACCATGGCAACAAGGCAGTTTTCTACAACCAACAGCAGCTGATTAACATCTCAAAAGCTCAAATAATATCTCAACTACAGCCCCAAATCTCAAATGAGTTGAAAAGGATGTTCTGTGGATGCATTCTCATCTACCTGCCAGCTGTGCTTGAGTGCCTGACCACTGAGATCCTGGAACTAACAGGAAACACGGCTCATGACAGCGGAATGACAGGATCGTCCCTCGGCACCTACAGTTGGCTGTCCGCAGTAACGAGGAGCTCAGCAGACTGCTGGGAGGAGTGGCCATCGCTCTGGGAGGAGTTCAGCCCAGCATTCGGGCGGTCCTACAGCCCGGGGGAAACTGAGAGGCCAGCTGAGTCTGGGTGGACGGATCGGACAGCATCTGCAGCCATTTTATTAGGATCCACTGTGAGCTGGACCTTTACAAGAGATCCTTCCTGTCTACAGCCATCAGTATCTATAATGTATCTTAATGAAATGAGGATAACGAGTTACAACAACAAACAATTTCCCTTTGGGATTAATAAAGTATTTTTGAATTGAATTGAATTGAACTCTAAAATAGTTATTGAATCAAGTGTTAACCTGTGTAGGTAAAACTAGATGTTAAATAACCTATTAAAATACACCAGAAGACACGAAATGGCATCTACTTTATTCAAAAATGTCTGGGGGAGGAACCCTAGACCCCCCCCCCCCCCCACACACACACACATTACAAATAAATAAACTGAATTGAATTGAACTGAAATGGTTCTTATGCCAGTGGCCACCGCATTGTTCAAGTCAAGAGCCATCGTCAGCACTGGGGACTGAAAGCGCCCCTAAAGGGCAGATTCTAGAATCACCCCTGATGTAAAGTTATAATTACATGATTTCAATAATAATAGGTGGTGATCTAACGTGGGCTAGTCTGGGGCATGAAACTCCAGGGCTGAAAACGAGTCCTACTTCAGCCCTGTGGGGAGGCATAACCTCCTGAGACATCCATCCATCCATTATCTTTTACCCGCTTCTTCCTTTTTGGGTCATGGGGGTCACTGGTACCCATGTCCAGCCATCACTGTGCAAAAGGCACAGGTCCAAGTACACACTGCACAGGTCCAAATCCATCAAACGAGACAAACAACCATTCACTCTCTCACACCTAGGAACAATTAGAGTTACCAGTCAGCCTAACATGCATGTTTTTGGTCTGTGGGAGGAAACCCATACAGCACAGAGAGAAACATGCAAACTCCACCCAGAAAGGCCCCTGACCGGGATTCGGTCTGTCGACCTTCTTGCTGAGAGGCAGCAGCTCTACAAACTGCGCCACCATGCTGCCCTAAATTAAGATTTTTAACTAATTTCTCAAAACTAAGTTTGTTTCGAGCCACTTTTCCTTTTGTAATTTTCCGATAGGCTAACTCTGAATATTAACCCATTGTAATAATATACTAACTCCAATATTATTATTATAACACTAATATACTAATATTAGTATTTTAAACGTGTATTAATGTGGTCTACAATGTCCTTGTTAATAAATAAACCGAAACCATTGATGAATAACAGTTTACCTCCCAGTTCACTGTTCCTTATCTTTAATTAGCGGCCCTCCCACACCTGTGTCAGCGCGTGACAGCCGCTCCTCCTGATTGGCGCGCGCTGCTCCGCTCCGTCAGCAGGTGGCGCGAGGACTCCGAGCTCAGCCGCACGTGTTCGGATCGATGCTTCGATCATCTCCTGCTCTCCTCTCTGCGACGCGACACGCCCCTGGCTCCTGCTTGTGTGTCAACTCTTTTATTTTGGTTACGGGGCACATGGCACCGCGAGCTCGACCCAGTGCTACGGCTGCGCGCGCACTCAAAGGTGGCATTCGCGCGTGCCATCCTGGCGTTTGACACCGCAGAAGAAGAAGCACAGAGAGGAGACTGACTGAGACGTCATTTAAAATACTTTTTTTTTCTGTTTTTGTTCGCGTTTTGGAGACAAGTTGTTGACAGGCTGAACCGGCTGTTGTTTTTAACGATAAAAAACACGAACATTAAACAGGTGGAGAACCTTCAACCACACAAATCAACCTGGTAAGTGTCTCAGCTTCGATTTTACACACGTATCTGTTTTTTATTTGTTTGACGCAGCTCGAATAATCACCAGCACCTTTAGTGGTTTTTGGCAGTGAGGTGCTCTTCATCATCACTTTCATTTGTCTTCTTTCTGCACGGAAGGTACTTTGAATCATAACCAACTTTATAGACTCATAAAAAGTGTGGGGGCTTCATAAAACACAGTAAAGCCAATCAAACCATTTAGACAGAGGAGAGAACTGGAAGTCAAATGAGGTTAAAGCCACACCGAGGAAAGGCTCCACACCTACTGGACTTCATCCTTCAATTTTTAGGAGACTGGGGGAGTTTTCTTTCTCCCCTTTAGCTTATTAAGTAGTCAGTGTGATTTGTGGTGGGGCATAACCAGGTGCAGTCCTCAAAAACATCTGTCCAGCTGCTCTTTTTTTGGCCTGGTAATGATGATGACTTTGAACTTGAATTTTCCTTTAAATGATGCTTCTCTGCTCACAAAGGTTTTTATTTTTAATTGTTATAAATAAATAAAGAGGCCCAGCGGATGGGAAACGAGTTGTTTGAGAGCACACTGGAACCATGATGTCCTCAAACCTCCAGCATCTGCTGTTTGTATTCTCCATTGTGTCTGGCAGCCCTTCACGTGCACGTTCCACCTTCCCTTGCTCCTGTTCTACGAGATGGTTTACAGTCTTTTTTTGCCCAGTAAACACTGGAGAAATCTGTCCACCAACTAAAAACAGACCGCTGTAATTTTGGACTGAGCAAATCAGTAGCTTTTCAGGAAAAATGTAGAGGGTTTGTATTTTTAACCTTTTAACTGGGGAAGGTGTTTAGTTTCAATTAAACCAGTGATTATTCTTTTGGCTGCTTTTTAAAAAAAATCCAAGCATTTTATTTAAAAAAAAAAAAAAAGAAGCAGATTTACTCTGTCACACAATTGCACACAGGACGTTTATTCTGTTTAGTCTGAATGACTATCTTCTTGGATCAGTTTCAGCAAACAAGCATTTTGACTCCTCTTTCTTTCGCTTCAGCGTTTCGTGACGTTAAGGATGCTTCTGAAACTAAAATGTGCAGCAGCATAGTCTTTTGAGCGTGCATGGTGCAAACCTAGTGTGGGGAGGATGTGGGGAGAGAGACACGGTTCACACAGATGAGTGTTTGAACGGCGCCCTGTGAACCATAAGGAAGAGAGCAGAGGTATTTCTGCAAGGATGCAAACGGTTTTGTCTTTTTAAGAATATGAAATGCCTTTTTTTTTTAAGGTTGTTACAAGATTTTCTCCCTTCAAAAAGGGAGTAACCCACACAAATTACAGGTATGTTTCTATTCATTAGTGTTTCGATGACACATAGGTAATTAAATGTAGTTGCAGCATAAACCAACACCCTTTTTAGCATCTTCACATATTTTGTTTTTGTTCCATGTTTTCTCATCTCCTTAGGGACTGCAGTTAAACCCGAACAAAATGGGTGTGATTTGGTGAGCGTACATGAAGTTATTTCACTCCGCTCGGTCCAGGGAGAGGCTTGTTGCTGCATTCCTCTCCTTTTTATTCAGAGGGTGTGTGTCCAGGTACGTGTCGAGCTGTCGGGGCACTTTGTGACGCACAGATTAGAGTCAACAGCATCAGACTGCATCACTGACACGAGCTGAGGAGAGTTTGCACGGTGCGTCCAGTGAGAGTCCTGACAAGTGTGATTCATTCCTGGAATATTCCCCCGAAGCCACAGTGGTTCATCTCTGTGTTACCTTACATGTAAGTTCAGGCAGATCTCGCGCCTTAAACCTGAGCATCTGCTGTCATTTTAGTACCAACATGTTGGAGAGACGCTGCCTTTTTGTTTCAGAGGAGCGCATTTTCATCCAGAGTTTAAATAAAATAAAATAAAAAGACTCAGTTAAGCTCTTTCAGTGACCTCAATAAACAAAAGTGAAGAGCAGAAGTAGGTAACTTCTAGGCTAACACATGACTATTCAACTAAATTGCTCAGGGGGGCCACAGTTACTCAAAGCCAAGAGCACAAGGGCTAGGCCTCTTGCAATAAACAATAAATCAATCAATCGCATGATAAATTAAAATTATTGACCTCATTTTCATTTATCGTCTTTATCATTTCTTCTTTTCTCCTCTCTTTGCTAAAAGCAGCTAAGCTTTGAAGCTAAGCTACGAGCTAAGCTAAAAGGGCGGCCTCGGGGAAAAAACTTCCGTCTTGCCAAAGCTCCAAAATTTACGGTTGAAACCTGTGCCTTTGTGTAAAAAGTTGTTTTTCTCTGCAAAAAGAAGCTGAGAACTTCTTTACTGTTTTTTTTTTTTTTTAATTAAAAGCTTTGTGTGACAAATGCTATGCTAAAGAGCTCAAACCACACCGATCGGCCGCCATTTTTAGAACTGAAAACAAGGAAGGAGAGCCCATGTCACGTCAAGGGGCCTCCCTCCCATTTTTCTTAAAGAGACACGCTGCTCGCTCCCTCACTATCCATCCTTCGGTTCAAACAGTCTTATACTGCCATCCGGTGGTCATAAAAAGGTACTACACACAAAACAAATTAACCAACATTTCCTCTTAAATTTGACAGTACTTGGTAATTAGTAAATTTGACAATAATTAGTAATTGTCAACTTTCAAACAATATTATTGTTTATTGCAATAATTTCTGAGACAATTAATCGCCCAGCAAAATTTGTTATTGTAACAGGCCTAGGCTGGACATTGAGCAGTTATTGTCATTAAGTAAGTTTGTTTTGCAGTTTAAAGTCTAGTTTTATTTAAAAATGAACCCATTGGTGGGCTGAACTGAGCACACCCATGGGCCCAATTTGGCCCCCAGGCCACCAGTTGAATAGCCCTGTACTAACAGCTTGTTTTTCCACATTTTTTGTCATAATCAAGGGGCTAATTCTCAAAGTTGGCATAGTTAAAAACAATAATGGTAATGGTTTCCTGTAAAGTGTTTACATTCAGCGGCTGGCTATCAGTGCAAGGTATTTTCCACTGAATGGTTGATTTTCTAGAGGCAAACAAACCTACAAGAGAAAACAACCACTGGTTTCTATGATGATGTGGTGTCTTGTTGATCAAAGTTCATGACTCATCGAGGCTCAGTCATCATATTTTTTGCCTCGCTGCAGTAAATTACATGTGCAGCTGGAAACTTGTTTGTAAGATTCACTTCTTCGGCTTGAATAACCTGTAACTACGTGGTCAATTAAAGAAGTCTGGCTGGGCTTATGTGCCTGCATGTCTTATTTACTGTCAGACACAAACAAAAAGTAGTTGTAGAAAACAGTGTTTTAATGTCTCTAAATGGTTTGGCACTGTGTTGATTACCCAACACTTCAGCAGTTGAAGTCAATGCTCTGAGTTGGGCCTGATGGTGTAAATTTGAATGTTCTCTGCAGGTTTTAGTAGTTCATCCTGAATGCGACTCTACAAAACGCCGTCTTTAATTCTTCATACCTCCTCATGTTGATTTTGCCTTTAGGGACAGGCTCTCTTTGACATGACAAGTGCCAAGTCGTCTTTAGCATATCGAGTGTGTACATGGCAGGTTCAAACTCCACTCAGGGAAGAAAAACGTCCCTGTGGATACTAGAAAAGCTGTGTTCAGTGTCTACGGGGAACTTTCTATGACTTCTCTCCAGCGTTTGACCAGGACAAATTAGACATGTTGTCACAAAGTTTGATTTACTAGTTTGGAACTTGGTAAAATTTCATCACCCTGACTTCCAGGCCAGCGTTTATAATTTCTTCTGTTACAAGATGAACTTACAGTATGTACATATTGGCACGTTTGAAACACAGTCTTTTTATCAGAGTCAGAGTCAGAGAGTCAGAGTTTCTTTATTGTCATTCGCACCTCATGTGGTACATGTGGTGGAGCGAAATTATGTACACAGGGTCCCAGTTACATCCAACAATAAAATGTCTAAGAAAAACAGTAATAACATCTAAGATATGAACTAAGAAAAACATCAACTAAATATACACTAAGCACTCATAACATAAAACATTGAACATCAGCACGAACATGAGTCTGTGAGCAGATGTGCACGCATGAACACATCAACATTGAAACAGATCAGCAGCAACATGAAACAGATCAGCAGCAACATGATATGGTTTTTCACAGTGATTATTCTAGTTAGAGATTCATGAGTCTAACAGCCTCAGGGTAGAAGCTGTTCCTCAGTCTAGTGGTTCTACACTTAATGCTCCTTAACCTCCTTCCTGAGGGGAGTGGGGCAAAAAGTGTGTGTGCTGGGTGGGTGGGGTCCTTCATGATGCAGGTGGCCCTCTTCCTGCATCTGGAGGTGTAGATGTCTGTGATGGTGGGGAGACTGATTCCGACAGATTTCTGTGCAGCCTTCACCACTCTCTGCAAAGCTTTTCTTTCTGCAGCTGTGCAGCCTCCATGCCACACATTGATGCTCGAGCACAGGATGCTCTCCACTGCACACCTGTAGAAGGAGGTGAGGACTGAGCTTCCCAGACCAGCTCGCCTCAGCCGTCTGAGGAAGTAGAGTCTCTGATGAGCTTTCTTGATCAGGCTGGTGGTGTTGTTGCTCCAGCTGAGGTTGTCATTCATGTGTACACCCAAGTACTTGTAGCTGGAGACCACTTACAGTGCCCATGCTGATACAGTGGTTGGCAAGAGGCCTATTTATAGTGTTTTGACCCTGGCCCTGTGTTAACCATTATACATTAAACTATAGCCAATACAGTCATATGATACAACTAGAGGTACTAATTAACTAAAGATAATATATGCTGATCTGCTCAACTTTCTTTGTGCTAATTTGATATGGTTTGTTGAAAACTCTATACCTTTTAGGGTATAGGTGCGTTTCATCAAACTGCTTGTTGTTTTTCACTTCTTGGCAGTGATTCATCATGCCTACCACAACAGTCTTCTCTAGTTGATCCTGACCCCCTGCAGACAAACTGTGGTCACAGAAACAAAGGTAGTCTTGTTATGGTCTAAGGCAGTATGTATAC